TCCCTCTCTGCCTCTTGCACTAGTGTTATTATACATTTTACTTCTACTTGCCTCTTATTTTTGCTTTAAATGGCCAAAAGCGTTTTTTAAAGTAAAAAACAAAAGATATGCTCTTATATTTTCTGTGTAATTCCTGGTCCTTTCTATTTCTTTTGAGTAGTCTGGGCTTCTATCTTAGATTCTCTCCCTTTGGCCTTGGAAATTCCTTTAGTACTATTTATAGTGTAGCAATGAATCTCTTAATTTTGTCTCCTTTCATTTGTTTAAAAATGTCTTAATTTAGCCTTTATTTTTGAATGACATTTTTATTGGAAATAGACTTCTAAGCTCACAGAATTTTTTCCTTGATACCCATTAAAGTGGTCCTTTAGTTGTATTTTTGCTGACTTTGTTTCTAGTGAAAAGCCAGCTGCAAATCTTATTGTGTTTCCCCTCAATGTAATCTAATTCTATTTTCTGGATAATTTTAAGATCTTCTCCTTACCTTTGTTTTCTAGCTTGATGATGACATCTCTAGGTATAGTCTTTCTTGTATTTATACTCCTTAAGTTTATTTTTATTCCTAAATCTGTGTATTGACGTCTTTCATGAGTTTTGTGAAGACATGTTCAGTCACTATCTCTTCAAATATTTATTGAAGCCCCATTCTCATTTCCCTCTCCTCCTGGGACTCCAGTTATACATATAACATCCCATTTAATATATTGTTTCATAGATGTTGATGCTCTATTACAAGGGTTTGACAAACTTTTCTCTAAAGGGCAAGACTTAATATTTTAGGCTTTGTATGCCATATCATCTCTGTCACAACTACTTGGCTATTCTATAAACAATGTCTGGTACGTCTGGGTTCCCATAAAACTTTGTTTACAATAACAGGCAGCAGGTTATAGCTGGTCCATGGGCCCACAGTTTGCTGACCCTTCCTCCAGTCTGTCATTGTTTGTTTCTTTCTGTGCTTCAACTTGGAGAACTTACTTTGACCTGCCTTTGAGTTTCCGACCCTTTCTTGTGGTTGTGTCCAATCTGTTGTCAAGCCTATTAAGTGAAGACTTCATTTTAGATTATATTTTTCAGATCTAGATCTTACATTTGTTTATTTTCATAGATGTTATTCATTTTCTAGTTTATTTCTTTATTAATAGATTTTTTTAGAGCCATTTTAGGTTCACAGCAAAACTGAGCAGAAAGTGCAGAGAGCTCCCCTACACCTCCTGTCCCACACATACACAACCTCCCCTACTATCAACATTGCCCACCAGAGTGGCACTTTTCTTACAACTAAGTCATGTTCATATCATTATCAACCAAAGTCAATATTTAACATTAAGGTTCACTCTTGGTGGTGTGACAGAAGTATAATGACATGTAGCCACCATTACAGTGTCACACAGAGTAGTTTCACTGCCCTAAAAATTCCTCTGTTTATTTCTCCCTCCCCCCTAACCTCTGTCAGCCCCTGAACTGTTTACTATCTCTACAGTTTTCTCTTTTCCAGAAGATTGTACAGCTGTAATCATAGAGTATGTAGCCTTTTCAGATTGGCTTCTTTCGTTGAATAATAGGCATTTAAGGTTCCTTCTTGTCTTTTCATGGCTTAAAAGCTCATGTGTTTTCTTTTTAGTGCTAAAGAGACTTTAACACTAAAGTCATTTAGTGCTGAATTCTTTTCTTTTTAGTGTTAAATAATATTCTTTGGTGGGGGTCACACCTGTAATACAGCACTTTAGGATGTTGAAGCAGGTGGATTGCTTGAGGCCAGGAGTTAGAGAGTGTGGTGGGGCACATCTGTAATCCCAGCTGCTCGGGAGGCTGAGACATGAGAATCACCCGAACCTGGGAGGTGGAGGTGGCAGTGGGCAGACAGTGCATTACTGTACTCCAGCCTGGGCAACAGAGGAAGTCTCTGTCTCAAAAGAGAGAGAGAGAGAGAAGCAAAGAAGGAAGAAAGGAGGGATAAAGAGAGAAAGAAAGAAGGAAAGAAGGAAGGAAGGAAGGAAGGAGGGAAGGAAGGAAGCTAGGTTTGCCCAGACTAATGTCCTGGAGATTTTCCCTGGTGATTTCTTGTAGTAGCTTCATAGTTTGAGGTTTTAGATTTAAGTCTTTAATCACTTTTGATTTGATTTTATATATGGCAAGAGATAGAGGTCTAGGAGCTGGTTTCACTCTTCTCCATATGAATATCTGTTTTTCTCAACCATATATTGAAGATACTGTCTTTTCCCCAGTGTATGTTCTTGGTACCTTTGTTAACAATGAGTTCCTGTGGATTTGTTTCCGGGTTCTCTATTCTGTTCCACTGGTCTATGTGTCTGTTATTATGCCAGTACCATGCTGTTTTGGTTACTATGGCTCTGTAGTATAATTTGAAGTTAAGAAATGTGATTCCTCCAGTTCTGTTCTTTTTGCTTAGGATAGCTTTGAATATACTGGGTTTTTTGGGGTTCCATATAAATTTTAGGATTGTTTTTTCTATAAATGTGAAGAACATCACTGGTATTTTGATGGGGATTGCATTGAATTTGTAGATTGCTTTCAGTATTGTAAACATTTTAACAATATTGATTCTTATAACCCATGAACCTGAAATATCATTCCATTTTTTCGATATCTTCTTCAATTTCTTTTATCAGTGTTTTCTGATTTTCATTACAGTGATCTTTCACTTCTTTGGTTAAGTTAATTCTTAGGTATTTGATTTTATTTGTGACTATTGTAAATGGGATAACTCTTTTACTTTCTTTTTCATATTGTTTACTGTTGGAATATAGAAATACTACTGATTTTTCTATGTTGATTTTGTATCCTGAAACTTTACTGAATTTGCTTATCAGTTCTAATCGATTTTTGTGAAATCTTTAGGTTTTTCCAAATAAAAGATCATATCTCTGCAGGAATTGGATATGGGGGAAAAAAAGATCATATCATCTGTGGACAAAGATAATTTGACTTCTTCCTTTCCAATTTGGATGCCCTTTATTTCTTTCTCTTGTTTGATTACTCTAGCTAGGACTTCCAGTACTATGTTGAGTAACAATGGTGAAGTGGGCATTCTTGTTGTGTTCTGTTTTTAGAAGGAAGGCTTTAAGTTGTTCCCCATTCAGTATGATACCAGCTGAATGGTATTGTGGGTTTTTCTGTTTTGGGTATTTGTTTTTGTTTTTGTTTGTTTGTTTTTTTGAGTCAGAGGTCCGCTCTTATTGCCCAGGCTGGAGTGCAATGGTGCAGTCTTGGCTCACTATAACCTCCACCTCCCTGGTTCAAGTGATTCTCCTCCCTCAGCCTCCCAAGTAGCTGGGATTACAGGCGCCTGCCCCCACACCTGGCTAATATTTGTATTTTTCGTAGAGACAGGGTTTCATCGTGTTGGTCAGGCTGGTCTCGAACTCCTGACCTCAGGTGATCCACCCACCTTGGCCTCCCAAAGTGTTGGGATTACACGGGTGAGCCACCAAGCCCAGCCTGGTATTGTGTTTTAATTTCAAGCTCCACTTGTTTATTGTAGATACTTAAGAAAGTGATTGACTTTTGTATATTAACCTTGTATCCTGAAACCTTGGTATAATTACTTATTAATTTTTGAGTTATTTATTTATTCATTTTGAGACAGAGCCTTGCTCTGCAACCTAGGCCACAGTGCAGTGGTGTGAGCTAGGCTCACTGCAACCTCCACCTCCCAGGCTCAAGTGCATCACAATTTCCAGCTAATTTTTGTATTTTTAGTAGATACAAGGTTTTGTCATGTTGCCCAGGCTGGTCTCCGAATTCCTGGGCTCAAGTGATCCACCCACCTTGGCATCCCAAAGTGCTAGGATTACAGGAATGAGCCACCACACCTAGCCTAGAATTTTTTTTGTTTATTCTTTTCAAATTTTCTACATAAACATGACACCTGCAAACAGAGAGTATATTTTTTCTTCCTTTCCAATTAGCATACCTTTTATTTCTCTTTCTTGTGTTATCACATTAGCTAAGACTCTGGCACAATGTTGAAAAAGAGTGGTGAGGAGATATTCTTGCATCACTCCTGATCTTAGCAAGAAAGCTGTTTCTCACCATTAAGTATAATGTTAGCTGTAGGTTTTTTGCAGATATTCTTTATTCAGCTGAGGAAGTTCCCCTCTAGTCCTAGTTTACTGAGAGGTGTTTTTGTTTTGTTTTTTTTTTTGACATGGAGTCTCGCTCTGTCACCCAGGCTGGAGTGCAGTGGCACAATCTCAGTTCACCGAAACCCCTGCCTCTCAGGTTCAAGCGATTCTTCTTTCTCAGCCTCCCAAGTAGCTGGGACTACAGGCTTGTGCCACCACACCTGGCTAATTTTTGTATTTTTAGTAGTAACGGGGTTTCACCATATTGGCCAGGCTGGTCTCAAACTCCTGACCTCGTGATCCGTCCTCCTCAGCCTCCCAAAGTGCTGGGATTACAGGCGGCCACTGAGAGTTTTTTATCATGGGTGTTGTATTTTTTCAAATGTGGTTTCTGCATCTATTGATATAATCATGTGATTTTTCTTCTTTAGCCTGTTGATGTGATAAATTATATATCTAAATGAGTTTTGAATATTAAACTAGCCTTGCATACCTGGGATAAATCCTTCTTGGTCTTGGCGTATAATTCTTTGTTTACGTTCTTAGATTCTACTTGCTTGTATTTTGTTGAAGAATTTTGCATCTATGTTCATGAGAGATATTGGTCCCATAGTTTTCTTTTCTTGTAATAGGTTTGTGTGATTTAGTGTTAGGGTAATGCTGGCCTCATAGGATAAGTTAGGAAGTATTCTCTCTGCTTCTATTTTCTGGAAGAAACTGTAGAATATTGATATAATTTCTTTCTTGAATATTTGGTAGAATTCACCAGTGAACCTATCTGGGCCTGATGCTTCCTGTTTTAAAAGGTTATTAATTATTGATTTGGTTTCTTTAATACAGATAGACCTGTTCAGATTGTCTTGTTGTTGTTTTTGTTTGTTTGTTTTTGTTTTTCCTGAGACAGGGTGTCACTCTGTCACCCATGCTGGAGTACAGTGGTGCCATCACTGCTCACTGCAGCCTTGACATCCTGTGCTCAAGCAATTCTCCCACCTCTACCTCCTAAGTAACCGGGACAACAGGCACACACCAACACATCCATCAACTTTTTTATGTTTTGTAGAGACAGGGTCTCACTATGTTGCCCAGGCTGGTCTCAAATTCCTGGCCTCAACATATTCTCGCACCTCAGCCTCCCAAAGTGCTGGGATTACATGCATGAGCCACCATGTCCCAGCACAGATTGTCTATTTCTTCTTGAATGAGTTTTGACAGAATGCGTATTTCAAGGACTTGTTCCATTTCACCTAGGTTATCAGATTTGTGACCATAGAGTTTTTCATAATATTCATTTATGATCCTTTCAATATCCATAAAAGGACATTAGTGATGTCACCCCTTTCATTTTTCATATTAGTAATTTGTGCCTTCTCTCTTTTTTCTTAGCCTGGCTGGAGACTTATGAGTTTCACCTACCTTGAAATAACCAACTTTTTATTTTGCTGATTTTCTCTACTGATTTCCTGTTTTCAGTTTCATTGAGATCTGTTCTAATTTTTATTATTTACTTTCTTCTGTTTACTTTGGATTTAATTTACTCTTTTTTCTACTTTCCTAAAGAGGAGACTTAGATCGCTGATCTTCAATATTTCTTCTTTTTTAATGTAGAGGCTAATAATAACTTCAGTTCATTCAATGTTATAAATTTCCCTCTAATCACTGCTTTTGCTACATCCCACATATTTTGATTAGTTGTACGTTCTTTTTCATTAGTTCAAACTATTGTTTAATTTCTCTACATTTCTTCTTTGCACCAGATGTTACTTAGAAGTGTATTGTTCAATCTCCAGGTATTTTGATGGTTTCCAGCTATCTTTCTTTTATTGATTTGTAGTTTAATTCTATTGTCTGTCTGAGAGCAGGCAGTATATGATGTATATTCTTTAAATTTGTTAAGGCGTGTTTCATGACCCAAAATGTGGTATCTTGGTGAATGTTCCAAGTGAGTTTGAGAAGAATCTTTAGTTTTCTGTTATTGGATGAAGTAGTCTATAGATGTCCATTATATCCAGTTGATTGATGATGTTGAGTTTGACTACGTTCTTACTGATTTTCTGCCTGTTCAGTCTGCCAATTCCTGATCAATGAGTGTTGAAGTCTTCAACTTTAGAAGTGGATTCATCTGTTTCTCCTTGCAGTTCTGTCAGTTCTTCCCTCACATATTTCTATGCTCTGTTGTTAGGTGCATATGGTCAGAATTGTCATGTCTTCTTGGAGAATTGACTCCTTTTTCCTTATGTAATGTCCTTCTTTATCTGTGGTAACTTTCCTTGTCCTTCAAGTCTGTTCTGTCTGAAATTAATATAGATATTATGGGGGTGTTTTTGCCAAGTGTTAGTATGGTATATGTTTCTCTATCCCTTTAATTTTAATCTAGATGCATCTTGATATTTAGAATGGATTTCTTGTGGACTACATATAGTTGGGTCTGGTTTGTGTTTTATCTACTCTGACAATCTCTTTTATTTTTTTCTTTCCACCTTTTATTATAGGTTCAAGGGGTACATATGAAGGTTTATTATTACATGGGTAAATTGCATATCACGGGAGTTTGGTGTACAGGACATTTTGTCACCAGGTAATAAGCAGAATACCCACTTTTCAATCACCCTCCTCCCAGCCTCCACCCTTAAGGCCCCAGATGTCTGTTGTTCCCTTCTTTGTGTCCATGTGTACTCAATGTTTAGCTCCCACTGATAAGTGAGAACGTGAAGTATTTGGTTCTCTGTTCCTGTGTTAATTTGCTTAGGATGATGGCCTCCAGCTCTATCCATGTTGCTGTGAAGGACATTGACTGAATTCTATTTTATGACTCTGTGGTATTCCATAGTGTATATGTGCCACATTTTTTTTTTACCTAGTCTATCATTGATGGGCATCTAGGCTGATTCCATATATTTGCTATTGTGAATAGTGCTGCAATGAACATATATCTGCATGTGTCTTCGTGGTAGAATTATTTCTATCGCTTTAGGTATACACCCAGTAATGGAATTGCTGGGTTGAATGGTAGTTCTGCTTTAAGTTCTTTGATAAATCTCCAGTCAGTTTTCCACAGTGGCTAAACTAATTTATGCTCTAACCAGCAGTGTATAAGCATTCTCTTTTCTCCACAGCCTCCCCAGCATCTGTTATTTTTCCCTTTTATTAGTAGTCATTCTGACTGGTGTAAGATGGTATCTCATCGTGGTTTTGATTTGATTATTGATATTTAGTATTTTTTCCTATGCTTGTTGCCTGTGCAGGTGTCTTTTGAGAAGTATCTGTTCATGTCCTTTGCCCATTTTTAATGGGGTTGTTTTTTGCTTGCCGATTTGTTTAAGTTCCTTATAAATTCTAGACATTAGACTTTTATTAGATGTATAAGTTGTAAACATTTTATTTCACTCTTTAGGATGTCTGTTTACCCTGATGGTTTCTTTTACTTTGCAGAGTCTCTGTCTTAATTGGTATATTTAGACCATTAGCATTCAAAATGATTATTGACATAGAGTAATATCTACCGTATCTGTTACTGTTTTTCTATTTGCTGCCTTGTTATTTGTTTCTCTATTTTGTCTCCCACTCTTTCTCTGTCTTTTGTGGTTTTAATTGAACATTTTATATGACCAAAAAATAAATAGTCAGCATATTTCTGCTGTGGTCTGAATATGTTCCCTGAAAATTCACATGTTGAAATGTAATCACCAATATGATAAGAAGTGAGGTGCTTAGAGGGTGATTAAGTCATAATGGTGGAACTCTCATGAATGGATTTGTGCTTTAATGAAATAGGTGAGAGGGGACTATTCATCTTTTCTACCATGCAAGGACACAGCAAGTAAGTACTTACCTTGGAAACAGAAAGTGAGCCCTTACAGAGACCAAATGTGCTATTGCCTTGATCTTGGACTTCCCAGCCTCCAGAACTCTGAAAAATAAATTTTTATTATTTATAAATTATGCAGTCTGAGGTATTTTGTTATGGCAGCCCAAGTGCACTAAGACAACTTCTATTTAAAAAAAAAATACTTTTTTTCTTATTTTTTTTACTTGTCTTAGTGTTTTCCCTAGATTTGCAATATGCATCTACAACTAATGCATGTCCATTTTCAAATACTATATACTACTTCATGGGTTGTACAAAGTATTTTATAATAACAAAATAATCCTCATTCCTGCCTCCTGCCTCTTATATCACTGCTGTCAATCATTTTACTTATACATAAGCATAATTAAGTATATATATTTCTGTGGATATATACATACATACATGAATACATATAAGAAAAATAAAAGTTTCTATTCTATCTTCACTCATTCCTTCTTCAGTGCTCTCTGTTTCTTTACATAGATCCAAGTTTCTGACATATGTTTTTCTTTCTCTCTGAAGAGCTTCTTTCAATATTTCTTACAAGGCACATGTACCGACAATAAATTCTCTCAATTTTTGTTTGTCTGAGAAAGCCTGTATTTCTTCTTCACAGAGGGCTGTGGATGGGTCCCCTGCATGACAGGGTGAGGCCAGACCAGAGCAAGCCAGAAGATGCCATGGTCCTTCTCATGAACAGGTGCCCCTCTCAAGCTGCCAGCTGGGTGGCTGCACACCAGAGTTCCAAATACAAGCATGCTTTCTGGGAGGGAACACAAGGCAGACAACCCCCCTCCTTGAGCAGCTGCCCAGGCCCTAAGCCCTGGAGTCCTGGCTCAGGCTGTTACTGACCATTCCTGTGATCCTGGGCAAGAGGCCTACCTGCAGGGGAGGAGGTGCTGAACTAGCACACTTGTGAGTAAATCAGGTGGCCCAGACAGGCCTGCAACTCCAGGCCTCTCCAGGCAAAAGGTAAGAGTGTTGGCTTGTGCAGCTCCTGTGACCCACATGAGGCCTTACATTGGGGCCTTGCCATGAGCAGGCAGTCCTGGGAGCGCCACACTTCTTCCAGGGCCTGAGGTTTGGAGAAGATGGCTGCTCACTCCTTGCTGATCACTCTACAAAGCTATCATCTGCATCCTGCCGCTGTAATAGCTCTTCTCTCAAGGTCATCCTTTCAGCCTGCAAAATGCAAAGGCTCCAAGCCTGTGTCCTGGTCAGGGCGGGGTCCAGTCTTGGACTCATACTCACCCCAGCCCATAGTTAGTCTGCAAGGGGACAAAATGGAGAGAGGGCCAGGACACCTGCCTAACCCCCAGGACCTCTTTGGTTGGCCAGCTGAGGTCATTGAATCGCTGCCTGGAAGGCCAGCTCTCCTCTCCACCTCCCATTCTGGCAGCACTTCACAGTTTACAAAGGAAGCTTCTCCACTCCCAGGAGTGTAACTGACCTCATAACTTCCTTAGAGAGGAGGGAAGCTGCTTGCCCACAGCCATACCACAATAAGGAACAGGCAGGGACAGGGACTCACATCTCCTGTCTCTTGGAGCGCAGTGTAGCTTACACATCTGCCCTCCCTCCCACCCCACTTGTGGGCAGTTCTCAGGCTGCCTTAGGTGGCCAGGAAGCCCACCTGCCTCTTCCCATAGTCTTGGCAGGGCCACCACATCCTGGGGTCAACACTCGAATTTGGCAGGCACTGTGCAGTGCTGCTTTAATTAGGAGGCAGATGAGATGGAGGCTGCCGGCCCCTCCTTTCTGTTCTGCAGCTCCTCCCTGTTCCAGCTCAGCCCAAGGCAGAGCCTGGCCGGTTGGCCATTGGCCTCCAGGCTGGCAGTGTGGGGAGGAGGGGAAATCAGGCTTGGCGCCTGGGCTGGCCAGCCAGAGGCCAAGGACCGCAGAGCTGCTCACGTCCGCACATTTCTAAGCAGCCACATCCCCTGACCTGCTTCCAAGAGCCAAGGCCCCCGCCCCTCCACTGGGGACAGCCGCCTTCTGGGGACAGCCGCCTTCTGTGCTCAGCCAGAGGTGGCCCAAGAATTCTGGCTGGCTTAGCCTCGTGCCCCGACCTCAGCAGAGAAGCATGCAGAAGGCCACATCTGCCAAGCCCTCCAGGGCCCTGCCCTGCCCCAGGCGTGCATAGTTAGCATGCACGTTCAAATCCTGACCCCTGGACACTGCTGCCCCATCTGAGCTCCTGCTACCCCCAATCCCTCCAGGACCCTAGGGAAAGAGGCTTACCCTCCCTCTCCAGCCTCAGAGCCATTCCCCACTCTGTGCCTCTTTCTTCCTTAGTGCCTGAGTTAGGCGCATGCCTGTCACCACCCACACTGAACTGCATGCCCCATGAGGGGCCACTCGCATGATTTATGTTCATTTTCTCTTCCTCTTTATTTCCATGGATGTCCTTGAACACACATGCATCCTCAAAACTGTCTAGTGGCCAAAACTGGGAAGAATGGATGACCATGAGTTCTATCCCAGCAGTCTCAAAGGCCTCAGGAGGGCCCCACTCCCAGGAGCCATGGGATTTGGGGCTCATGGCCATCATATCTAGACCCCAGGACAGGAAGGTGCTCCAATACTGGAAGGTGCCCCAAAACCCAGGAATGCTGCAGCAGGTGCAGGTGCTGTTGGGATGTTGCTCACCAAGTCCCAGCCACAGGCTAAGGGAGAAATGCCCTCCGCCCTGGGTTGTCTGTGCTGTTTCTGAGTCCAGCTCTGGCTTGAACACATGAATCACACATCACGTCCCTGACCGGATTCCCCGTAGCCACCCTCAAGCAGCCATCTCTCCTGAGAGTGCAGGGCACCCCCTGGGTTCCATCCCATTGTCCCGCCCTTACTTCTTGCTTGTGAGGGTTCTCACCATGTATGTCTGTGTGTCTGTCTTTGTCCCATGCTGTGGGTTTTGTAGACCACCCTGGGCGCCCTCCAGCTGTGTTTGATAGATCCTCTCAGCAAGCCTAATGCTTTGCACTGTCCCAGTGGCGCCCTTTCCACCAGCCTGAATGTGCCAGGGGGCGTCCCACCATGTCCAAACTAATTAATGAACAAGTGAACAGACCATGGTATGAGCCTGAAAAGTGGTGGGGGCAGCCTCTGGCCAGAAGGTCCCTCCCAGCAGTCTTGGAGAGTGGGCACCTCCTCCAGGCCCAGGGCCTCCCTCCCTGGCAGCTGAGGCCACCTGCACTGCTTTAGCTAATTCAGTAAACCCTAAGGGAGGCCTGAAGGCAGAGCAGTGACCAGAGTGGCCTGCCCTGAGGAGCCCCTCTGGTTTGCCACTGCCTGCCACCAGCCAGCGGCAGCCAGGCTGGAGGAGGCAAGAAGGAGTACGAGCCCAGAGGTGCGGTCCGCAGGGGCTTCATGGAGAATGAGGGACTGAGGTGGGCCTTAGGGTATAGGTGGGGTGTAGACAGTGGACGTGTGGAGTGGAGGAGAAAGGGGAGAAGCTTCCAGTCACAGGCAACTGTGCGTGCTCAGGCCCAGCACAGGGGAAGCTGATGCCACCAGGGAGTGGCCCTGAGTCTATTTAGGGGTGTCTAGATGTGAGAAGAGGAGGCGCAAGTGCTGAGGCTGCAAAGGCAGAAGAGCCCTGGGGAACAGTGCCAGGCCCCCAGCTAGGCTGGGCAACCCAGACTCTCCTTTTGGTATGAGGCTACGTTTCACCCCTGAGCAGCCAGAAAGAGAGCAGAGCCAGGTGCTTTCTCAGACAGGAGATGTTGCTGACCGCCAGCAATGCAGGCCTGGTGCAGAGGGAGGGCTGGGACTGACGGGTGGGGATGGTGGTCGTGATCACAGAGGCCCCAGAAGAGGGTCTGACTGCCCTTGGAGAGAATCAAGTGGAGGTGGAAAAGCAACCAAAAAGAGACCCTGAGAACCCATCATGCAAGGGGCAGAAGGTGGGAGAGACAAAGATGTAATGGGGAGGCCAAAGAAAAAGGCAGGGATGCCGAGCGAAGAGAGGCTCCTGGAGGCAGAAGGGGCAGTGTTTCTGTGGGGCTGCTGAGGGTCCCTGGAGTTTGGAGATTGGAGGTCACTGTGGGCAGCGGGGGCAGCTGATGTCGCAAACAGGGCACACACAGCCATGTGCCTCTCTGTTAGGATGGACAACGGAGCAGAGGAAAGGGAAGGGCTCTGTTTGCCTGCCTGGATAAAAGAGGACAGATCTGCTTGAGATGAGGAGTGAGGCATCAGGGAGGCAGGGAGGCAGGAGGGACCAAGGACAGTTCACGGGGAAGCCCGAGGGCCAGAGCCCGAGGACGGAGGGACGCGAGGTCCAGGTGCCGGGCTGCTGGGAAGCTGGGCCCTCTCCCCTTTGCCCTCACCCAGCTCCACTTCCAGCGATCCATGCCTTCCATGGCTGCAGGGGAGTGCCTGGACACTGCCCCTGCAAGTAGGTGGGGGACACAGGCAAAAGTCGCCTGAGGGAAAGTGCAAGATCAGGCCTGGGACAAGCTGCAGAGCCCCAGGCCCAAGCTCCAGAGCCATTGCCTCAGGGCACGCAGAACCCAGTGTGAGCTCAGATCCTGTGGTCAATCTGTTCACTCATTCACTCATTGACTCATTCACTGGTCATTTCCCAGCTCAGTCTGCCCACGCACTCGGCCCTATGCTGGGATAAGGCCTTTGAGGAGCCACAGTCTGGTGGACACATAGGCCTGTAACCAAATCCCGGCCGCAGAGGGTGATGCTGCAGGAACCCAGGGTGGCTCAGGGCAGAGCAGGCAGACCATCTGCCAGGAGAGGATGAGGTACTGGAATCTCTTCGGAGAGCTGTGCTCTTGCAATGCCCAAAAGTGAAATTTAGAGAACAATCTTATTTACAAACAGCATCAGATAATGAAATACTTAGTAATAAATGTCATAAGAAAAGTGAAAAACTCAAACCCTGACAACTACAAAACACTGTTGAAAGAAATTCAAGATCTAAATAATGAAAAGATATCCTGTGTTCATCAATTAGAAGACTTAATATTACGAAGATGAAAAATGTTCCCAAATTGATCTACAGATTTAATGCAATCCCTAACAAAATTCCATGCAGCTTCTTCCAAAAC